AACTGCGATCTCTAGGGAAGACAGCGAACCAGAAAAAGGACAGGGGGGGCAGGAAACATTACAACGAGATAACAACAGGCAAGACTGGAGTGACAGGGTTATGGGTGAGGCAGTAACAGCTGCTGTGGGAGGGGACGAGAAACTAATGATGTGTCAAGATCAGGTGTGGAAAACGGATGCACGGAAGCAGCTCGGGAGGAGAGACAAAAAAGGGGGGAGAAGAGTGAGCAGGAAGATCTTAACAGCTGCTCCTATGGGCGAGACAATGGCGGCCATAAGGGAAGATGACAGCCCTACAGGGGATTTGAAATGCAGATTGAGAGATCGCTCCAAAATGAGGGGGGGGGGGAGATAGGGAGCAGAGACAGCTTGACAGCCGTCTCCCAGGCTCTCGTACACGCACTAGAAAAGTAATGGAGGATCTGGGCATGACTCATATCTGGGAACTCATTAATGAAGACAGAGAATAATTGGTTCTGAGAAAAGCACAAGTTTTTTCACTGCTAGGACCTGACTTGTACATTGTAATGAAATCAGGGTGTAGTCTGTTTTAAAAAAGTCTGAGAAAGTCTGGAAAGCTATGGTCATGTTACATAAAGCATGTCATGCTTGTTCCATTTATTATTTTTTATAGCACTGAAATAACTGAAGACAATTATCCCCAGATTCCAGTTCATTGGCATGTCAAGTACCAAATGAAATAGTGCTATTGCTGCACTGATTTAAATTAGGGATAGATGTTTGCCTCTCCATGTGTGCATATACGATATACATACAACCATGTATTGGCTTTATGCCAGGAAAATGTTCAGTTGCCTTTATGATGGAATAATGTGTATCCTATAAAGGTGTCTGATATTGAATCTTGAATCGCTGCACTGAGTGCTGCTGGGTTGACAGTTAAACCACTGGAAAGGCCTAAGAAACAAAGAAGCATCCAGGTGAGCATACCTGAATTTTACAAAGAAAAGCAATAATGTGCCATAATGAAATTGTATGATCTTTGAATTCAAGTTTATAATTATAAAAAGTTTAGTAGATACGACTGCTGTTGTTCCTAGCAAAGCCGTAATGTAAACACTCTTAGTAGGCAGCAAATCTCATTTGTTGACTGCATTATTTTATTATTTCTATGTTTGTTGTCTGGTAACTATGTCTTGAGGATATAATAAAGGAAGAATGCCCCAGACTCTTTGCTCTTTCTTGGGCCTTTGTTTGCTTTTTTAATAGTTTGTAGACTAGATTTTTTTTTCTGTGTATCTGATCTGTTAGATTAGAATGCCAGGCCTCTAGGACCTTCCCTATATTTTTGGATTTCACTTGATCTAAAATGGCTATAGTCGACTTGGTGGTTAAATTGGTGCATGTATCCAGTAAAAAATTTTCAGCATGACTTCTGGCTGCCAACTAAGTGTGTTCTGTAATCCTTTGCCTGTTTATCATACACAGTAGCTTTCGCAGTCAGCTCATTATATGTTGTAAATAATTTCATTTCATTTTTGTTTAAGATATTTTGGAAGGATTTTGTTGGTTTGTGGGCTACTTCGATACTTTGCAGTTGACATAATCTGTTGTGATTTTTGAGATATTTTCAATGTATGGAAGTTTTATTCTTTTTTATGGGTTGTAGTGGTTGTGTTCTAGTTGGTTGCATTGAAAAGCACTTGTAATGATGTGGATACCCAATGAAATGGGTACTTGTTTCATTGAAGGATACTATAAAGGTTGTCTTATTCCTTCTCTTTGGAGTTTTTGGAATATACAGACAAGCTTGGATATTCAGGCTTGTCTGAAAGCCCTCTTATGTTGGGCAGTTGGATTGTTGCTCTGGTACTGCAGCACTCGGTTTGTTTATATTGCTTTTCAAAATACCTGAATACGAAGTCTGGCTTTTTTACCTTGGTTGATAAGAATATCTAGGAATTGTAGTCTGTTATTCTTTTCTTCCCTTATAAATTTGATTCTGTTAAACACTGGTTTTGTTCTAAATATTTGATTATGACAAAAATAATGTCTGCCTAACAGATTCACATTTGAAGTTGTTTATGGAGGAGGACTATTACTTCCAGACACTGCTTAATTGTTTCTGATTTGAATCCTGAAATTGGTGATTCCATGGATGTTCCTCTGATTTCTTTGTATATCTGTCCATTAAAGTGAAAATAAATGGTGAGGCAGTAATCTATAAGTTCCATATTTCTAAATACCGTAATTTCCACTTTTGTTTCCTTCACTTGGTGTGGAGCTTTGTATAGTAAAGTTTAGGAGGTTTTTGCCAGTTTTGGATCTATAGGTATGAAGAATGCTGTGTTATCAGTAAGATCATGAAATCATCTTCTTCACCTATTAAGTCTTTGATTTTCTAAAAGCACTGTAATAGTGAATTGATAGCATGTTTGCTGCTTGCTCCTGAGAGTCCCTTGGACTGCAAGGCGTTCAAACCAGTCAGTCCTAGAAGAGATCAACCCTGACTGCTCTTTAGAAGGCCAGATCCTGAAGTTGAAACTCAAATACTTTGGCCACCTAATGAGAAGGAAGGACTCACTGGAGAAGGGCCTAATGCGGGGAAAGATTGAGGGCAATAGAAGAAGGGGACGACAGAGAATGAGATGGCTGGATGGAGTCACTGAAGCAGTAGGTGTGAACTTAAATGGACTCCAGAAGATGGTAGAGGACAGGAAGACCTGGAGGAACATTGTCCATGGGGTCACGATGGGTTGGACACGACTTCGCAATTAACAACAACAACAACAAGCATGTTTGCTACCATCAAAATGCTCACATTTTTAATGAGTTCTTTGGCAAAGTTGTATGCTGGGGTTCCCAATAGTGACACAATTAAATAGAGTGGTGTATCTGGTCTGTGTATTTTTGTGTGTCCATAAAAGCATGGGAGATGGATCCATAGCTTTTTGAACATGATTGTTGTTTTGTAATTTGTCCTATCTTGGCTAGATCATTGAGACTTTCTTGATTTGATTGTCTATTTTCTATATTGAGCTTGTATTTAGAGAGATGTAAGCATCTTTGTTGTTCAACACTTCATTAATTTTTTTTATGTGTTGTGCTCTGTCCACGAGAACTGTCATTCAACCTTCGTCTGCTGGTTTTTTGGTCCTCTGTAATAGTTTTTAATGACTAGAGAAGGGCAGTTTGCTTTAAGATCATTCTGTTTTTGTGTTACTTTGGTCAGAGGTAGGATTTTGGATACATTTTCTTGGATCTCATTTGAGAGTTTAGGTATTCTGAACGTTGTTTCTAATGCTGTGAAAAATTACAACAATGTCCTTTATGTACTTTACATAATGGAATGACAATACTATGAATTCAGGAAGGATTGGGTTAGAAGGAGATGGAAAACAAGGAGGAATGCAAACCTTGTGAGTACCCTGCACTTAAAGGGAGCAAAGGAGATGAAGAAGAGTTCTGGCAGTTGGAAGGCTTCATGGATAAAAATAAAATCAGTTAGCATGAATTGATCTGAAGCAGTTTTTTTAAAGCACTACAGTATTCCCGCTAACAATAATTCATGGATCACTTCTGAGCCATGAATCTTAAAGCATTACATATGATATATGGTAGGAATTAATAAAAAAATTGAAGTAAACTAGTAAAAATTTGTCACTGAACAGAACAGCAGAGAAAATGGGGAAGTAAAGAGATTAGATAAAGGGTCCATGCCAAAGAATTCTGGTAGAGTAACCTCAAATATTTTTTCTTCTTCATTATAAATTTGTTAGTTGTATCTTACATTTAGCCTTTTTAAATGACTATTTTGTCACTTTTGAATGAATTAGCCCCAGAGCAGGTAAAGATATGCAAATTGGGTGTCTACTCAACCAACAATTTTCCTACCACTTGATTATCATAAATCAAAATCAATGTTCTTCATATCCTTCATTCCAAGGCAGTTAACCTTCAGCCTCCCAGGAATGCATATAATAAACTTCCCTGATACAAAATCACCAGGTGGTTTGAAAGTACATGCAATACAAGAGGAGAAATGGCAGAGATACCGCCTTCTTGTGCAAGTGGAAACTGCCATTTGGCTGCTCATTGACATTTAACCAAAGAAGATGTTCCCCAATTTTAAAATCTAATCTTGGATAACTTCAGGACAAGAGACAAGCACATTTCTTCCTAGCTTTATTTTTTGAAGCAAATATTCCACTTGCTCCAAAATCTACCAAGGATTGCCTACTTAATTTTGAAGGTATCATCATAAAGGTTTAAACTTAGATAACCATAGCTTTTGCAATTTTTAAAATTCCATTGCTTGATTTTTCCAACATCGCCATGACAGTAGTGAAAATGCTGATCATGTATCATGTATGCCAATAGACAGTGTTTAATTAAGACTGCATACTTAAAGAAGGATACAGATGGAAAAATAACATTTATCAAGTGAAATTGACAAAAGATCAAAACATAAATCTTGGTTTTTGTTTTAAATTTTTACATACCTCTACATAAAGTTGCAACAGAAGCTGGAGAAGCAGAAGCATATAAATCTCTGAAACTGGGATCTACAAATCAAACTGTGTTCTAGAAATTCAAACACTACTGTTCAAAATCTCTCTTTTAGTACTTATTGTGGTGCTTAGTGGTAGATATGATCCTGTAGTCCTAAGAGATATTTCGCTTGGCCTTTTTGATATGCCAATAATGACTACATATTGCAAATGACATTTTGATGCAAACAATTGGGGCTAAGTGGTGTACAGTTGGAGAGTTGTGGGGAAAAACAAGATATTCAGCTTCTTTAAAAAGTCTAATCCAAATAGAAGAAATATTTTATTGAACTTATTTTACTTAATGAATAAATAAAGTCAAATGAGTACATTAGCAAAATTGATGAATTACTCACAAAATAAATGAGTGGACTGACATTTATTGGTGGGCCAAAATGCTGTCCTGCTGAGGAAAGTTAGGCATAAGTTGCAATGGGGAAAATACAGCCAACCCTTATTTAGATGCTAACAAGATTTTATTCCTTTTAGGTCATGTCTGTGTCCCATGTGTTGAGGAAATTCAGTATTTCCCATGAAACTTCAAGTAAGACATTTGCTCATTTATGCAAGGAGGAAAATGCTCAGTTGATTGGCAGCCTCTCCCTAATAATTGTTGCCTTGGTTAAAAGCAGAGTTGAGTTACTTTCTGCATGTGTGTGTACCTGGAATATATGGATCAATTTCACAATGTCATTTTCATACATATTCAGCTATTACTCTGGCAGAGTTTCTGCACCATGTTGAAAGGGCCTTGAAGACAATTATTTTATTTTGGTCACTCTGCACTCCACTGCCACTCACCCCTGCCTCCACTTGCTGCCCCCAACTGACCTTTGCTGTTTTTTTCCTCACATTGCTGCTGAAGCCCACTGGCAGTGGAAGCTACTGGATCTTTGCATGACCTCCTCAGCAGTGGGAGAAAGAACAGTTGGGGCTGGTGGTGGGGGGCAGCAGGGATAGGCAGCAGTGGCCAAATGCAGGACAGCTGAAAGAGCAGAGTTGGTGGGGCTGAGTCAAGCAACCTCTGTGATCATAAATGTGGGCAGGCTGCCAAGTGCCCAAATTTTAATCATGTGTCTACAGGGATGCTGCAACAGCCATAATTTCAAGGATCACCTTCTGAATCTTTTTGAAGAATTCACACTCCTATAGAAAGGGATCTAGGAGTACTAGTGATCAACCATTTAAATCTGAGCCAGTGATGTGCTGCAGCTGCAGAGATGGGGGGGAGGTAGGTGAGTGGAGAGTTGAAGCAGAGGGCAGAAGCACAAGATCCTCACCTAACAAGAGTGCATTCCTTGACTAACGACCACAACTGGGACTATTGTTAAGCAGTACGGTCACATGGTGTTTTGTCTAACAACTGCTTCACTGAGTGATAGAAATTTCAGCCCAGTTTAGGGTCATTGAGTGAAGACTACCTGTGGTGGGTTCAGACTTTGCCTCTACTATGAATTGAGAGAGAGGGAGGACTTAGAAAATATTAATGATCACTCATTCAGCTGCTACAGTATAGAGGCAATAATTCTTACTTACATTGTAGAGCTATTGCAAAGTTCACTATTAGAACATAGTGAAACACACTGAATATGGAGATTTAAAAGAAAAAGAAAAATTTAATAGAAATCAAGAGTCATCAATGTAATTCTTATGTTAATACAATTTCAAAGTCTTGCCATTTGGATTACAAGGGGGCCCTGCAGTCTTTATGCAATTAATCAATGACGTTCTAAGGGAGCACCTGTTTAAGGGGGTCCTTGTTTATTTGGACGACATTCTTCACCGAAACAAAAGAGGAACATGTCAACCTTGTCAGAGCGGTTTTAAAGAAGCTGTGAGCCGCCCACCTATATGCCAAACTCTCAAAATGTGAATTCCACCAGGAAAGGATAGACTACCTAGGTTATCGCATATCCCCACAGGGCATTGAAATGGACCCAGAGAAGGTCAAAGCAGTATTAGATTGGGCACCACCCCGCACAAGAAAGCAACTACAAAGTTTCCTGGGCTTTGCAAACTTTTACCGCAAATTCATCCCCTCATTTGCCCAGATAGCCTTGCCCCTCACTAACTTACTAAAAACGAAGGGAGCATCTTCAGTAAAACCTAGCCAGCCACTAACATGGACAATGGAGTGCCAAGCAGCGTTTGAGAGACTAAAGAGACTTTTTTCTGCCGAACCAGTACTAAGGCACCCAGACATGGACAAGCCCTTCATAATACAGGCAGATGCAAGTGATGTGGCAGTGGGGGCTGTTCTATTACAAGAAAATGATGATGGAGTATTGCAACCCTGTGCATATACATCCAAGAAACTCACGGAAACAGAACAGCGCTGACCTGTATGGGAGAAGGAGGCATATGGAATACGTTGGGCATTACTCACGTGGCGACAGTTCCTGGAAGGCAACAAAATCCCCTTCCAGGTGTGGACCGATCACAAAAATTTGGAAGCCCTGAAAACGCCCAGGAAACTCAATCCCAAACAAGCCCGCTGGTCCCAGCATTTTCACCAATTCCAATTTAAGCTCAAACATTTACCAGGAAGAAAGAACTTCCTGGCAGATGCTCTATCTCGCATGCCTCAATATAACAGCGCACAAACCACAGACTCTAGACCAATAATGGCAGAGTCACAACTGGCAGCACCAGTAACCACAAGAACCCAAGCTAAATTAAAACCACAACTGGACAGCCAAACTGGAATTGAATTCAGAAAAAGTTTGGAAACAGACGAATGGTTCCAGAAAAACAAAAATGTGTGCACAATGAGAGATGGGTTGCCTTGGGTAGGGGAAAAGTTATATATACCAACAACCCAAAGTATCACTTTCATGCAGCTTTGCCATGACACAAAATCAGCAGGGCATTTTGGATTTGTAAAAACTTTACACTTAATTAAACGGCAATTTTGGTGGCCATCAATAAAAAAGGACATAGAAAGTTATGTTGCCAGCTGCCCAACATGTGCATCTGCAAAAAGGTTGCAAGGGAAATCGCCAGGGCTATTACAACCAGTGGCAAATCCCTCAGCCGCCTCGAGGGAAATAGCCATGGATTTTATAGTGGAATTGCCAGAAAGCAATGGGAATACTGTTATCTAGACAGTCACAGACTTGTTTTCCAAACAGGTGCACTTTATCCCTTGCCAAAAGATTCCCACTGCAAAGGCCTTAGCAAAACTTTTCATCCAGCACATTTACAGATTGCATGGTGCACCCCAACGCATCATCTCTGATAGGGGAGTGCAATTTATGTCTGCATTTTGGAAGGAATTTTTATCCCTCTTAGGGACCACTCAGGGACTGACATCTAGCCATCACCCTCAGACAGATGGACAAACGGAACGTTTGACCAATATATGAGATGTTTTTTAAATTTCCAACAGAGTGATTGGACGGACCTACTCCCTTTTGCAGAAGTTGCCTACAATAATGCAGTCCACTCCAGCACAGGCTACACTCCTTTTCAAATAGCCAACGGTCAAAGTTTCAGCCCCATGCCAGAATTAACCCCAAATGAACCAATGATCCCATCACTGAAAAAAATGGATGGAAAAACTACAAAACACCTGGCCAATAGTTAGAAAAGCACTAGATGAAGCTAGGCAGGCATACAAAGCACAAGACGATAAAAAAAGGGTTGAGCCTACACCATTCATTATAGGTGAAATGGTGTACCTATCTACAAAATACCTAAAGTCCCTACAACCCTGTAAAAAACTTGGACCAAAATATATAGGACCTTTTCCAATTAAAAGAATCATAAACTCAGTAACAGTAGAATTAGAATTACCCAAAAATCTCAGGAAAATACACCCAATTTTTCATTGCAGCTTGCTGAAAAGAGAGCATCAGTCAGCTTTACGGCCAAAAATCCCCCCACCACCACCTCCAATCATGGTAGAGGGCGAACAACACTTCGAAATAAAGGAAATCCTTGATTCTAGGAGATATCATGGAGCAACTCAGTACCTAGTTGCCTGGAAACACCTCCCTGCCTCACAAAACGAGTGGGTCCATAAACGTCATGTCAGAGCCCCGAAGCTATTGAAGAAGTTTCACACAGAGTACCCTAACAAGCCTGACTAACTTTTATACCTGTTTTGTTTCTTTCAGGTGGATCTCTCTTATTTTTGAGGGGGCCGGATGTCAGAATCCAATTATATTTCATCTCTAGTTATCAAATATAGAAAACCCAATTCTGCCTTCTCTGGATTCTGCCATAAGAGGGAGAGAAGGGGGTGAACAAAGGGGCTTTATGGCCCTCACTTCCTTCAGTATACTTCTAAGGAACTGAATGTGTGTATTGCAAAAGAACTAACCATAAGAATGGGGCCGTTTTCCTTTCATGTAGTTTCTTTTAAGTCTCCATCCAGCCGGGCAGTAATGAAAAGGGGGTGGAAGTGTAATGCCTGAGACTGTCGCTGAAAGAGGGGGTTGATTGGGTGGGGCTACTGGGGAAACCCTTAAAACCTTGAATTGGAGAGCTTGGACCCCAAGTCCTGTCTAGAACGCCTGCAACCATTTTCTCTTAATAAAGGATTCCTGTTGGAAGAATTATTCCAAGAGTTCTGTCTTCTTAAGATGCAAAGTGGGGTGGGTCCTTACACATTGCTCACTAAAGCAAAAAGATATAATTAAATGGTTTAGATATAATATTGTGTCCAAACTTGGAGTTAATGGGAATAAATGATAATGTGGGTAATGCCAAGTAATTCATAGAGATAAATTCTCTTACATATAGAAAAAAATCGTTGACTAACTTGTACATTAAAAGTCTTGCTAGAAACTTACTTTTTATCTGCTGATTTAATTATTGTCCTAGAAGAGGTTTTGGACTTAACAAATTCTCCCTCCATTTAAACACTGGATGTATACTTTGGTTCTTTTCCCATTCTTACCTTTTAATATTAGCTAAACATGAATAATTTTATTGAATTTAATTTATTCTTGCTAACCATATCATTTTCTTTAACTTTTCAAGGCAATGCTGAATTCTTTGCTCAGAATTCTTATTACAGAGGATCACTGACCTAGCAAAATCCAAATGGAAGAAACAAAAAAACATATAACTTCTTTGTGGCAAGTATTCAGAATTTACTTCATGATTTTCATCCCGACTGAGAATAGATGCCTTGAAATGCTAAATTCCAATAGAAGGCCACTTTTTTTTGTAGAGTAAAGATATGTAGCCATCTATAAAGAGGAGGCTATTATTAATATGAAAACATGCAAATTAGACTCCAGAATCAGACAAATGGAATATAATAACAGTATAGGATGCTTTTGCATCAGAGTAATCAGTCATATTATCTTATATGTTATAATAATCATATATAATAATATAATCCCAATCAATTCATGCAAGCATATAACTGCATCAATAAAAACTTTATCTATTGGCTGATTTCTTATTTTAAAATTGAAATATAAAACTAGCTAGCTATGGTAGAGCTAGCCTACTTGATTGGCAATTTTACATTATGTGGTATCCATATAAAGGCTAGAAAACTCAACAGGATTTATTTATTTCTCTTTCTTTCTTTCTTTCTTTCTTTCTTTCTTTCTTTCTTTCTTTCTTTCCTTCCTTCCTTCCTTCCTTTCCTTCCTTTCCTTCCCTTCCTTCCTTCCTTCCTTCCTTCTTTCCTTCCTTCCTTCCTTTCTTTCTTTCTTTCCAAGAGGCTGTTCTCCCAGTCACAAAAATATTCCTGCTCCTGCTTTCTTTGCTGCTGTTTTTCTGTGGCAGTATAAGACTGTGTTAAGTCTTCATTTGCATTCTTATTTTTTAAAAGAGTTGGAATTATATATCCATTTCCAACCATATAAAAAAGCTTATCCTTCAGTAAGCATACATAGTTCACATTTGAAACTGGAAACATGACAAATCATAACAAAACTAGTTGGATCTGGATTCTGTGAATTGGGTGGGAGTGCACTGGCTTGGAGGGCAGACATAGCAGCTGGCCTTTGGGGAATAAATGAGTGAGTTAATCTTAGTTCTTGAGAAAAAGTCTGGGCTGGAAATACTCTTGAATTACAATCCAAAATAATGGTCCCAAATCTTTCTATTGTCTTTTATTATTGATGAATATTTTTTAAATGTTAACAGATAAAACAACCACTATCAGATTAATTCCTACAGATAAACGTATTTTTTGTATTTTCCTTCCAACATAATACATATACTGTTTGTAAGAATCTCTAAAATCTCCTTATCCTCTTTTTTCCCTATTGTTACTCTGGCAGTTCTTTGGAATATCTTAAGGGTGAGCAGCAACCATCTCTTTTTTTCCACGAGACATCTGCAGCTAGAAAATGTTAACCTCACACTCTTTGGTTTCATGACAATATTTTCCATTGTTCTGAAGTCAGTCAAAAGGAGACCAGTGATTGCTATGAGCAATAGGAGCATCTAGCAGCATTTGTGCTCTATCTCCACTGAAAGTCCTAAACTTTTAATTCCATAAATGGCATAGGGAAAATGTATGTGCAATCTCGTTTTAGCAATTTTTATGTGTGATGTTACTTTTAAAAGGTGGGAATTCTAAGATGGCAGCCACAGAAGAAGCTTGGTTACATTGTGGGAAGAGAAGACTAAGCTAAGACAAAATAGTAGGAGAAAAGGGAAAGAGGGAAAGATAAGTCAGAAAAATAAAAAAGACGTAAGAAGAGAAAAAGAGAATAAAGATCTGCAGAGCAGAGAGAAGAATCAGCTGTGGGGCAGAGAGGAAGGCCAACTAAGAGCAGTGCAACGACTGGCAGAGAGGAGAAACAGGAGAGTCGGTGAGATAGTGGAGAAGGGAGGAGAGCCAGACAGGGAGAGAAGATGAGAGCTTACTGTAACCATCCAGGCAGCCCTGTTTGCTGAAGGAAGCAGAACACTGGCACAATGGACCAGCAAATGGGAGCCACATGGCCATGGAGCTGTTGGTGAGGGTGGTGGAACACTGCAGCACAGTAGACTAGGGCCTAAAGCCAACAGCAGACCAAGTGCTATGGCGGCGGTAGATCAGGGCCTACAGCCAGCAGCAGACTAGGTGCTACAGATGGTGGTAGACTAGTGCCTACAGCCAGCAGCAGACCAGATGCTACAAATGGCGGCAGAACAGGGCCTACAGGTGGCAGCAGACCAGGTGCTACAAACGTTGGTAGAACAAGTGCTACAGATGGCAGTAGATCAGGTGCTACAGACAGCGGCAGATCAGGTGCTACAGATGGCAGGAGACCAGGGCCTACAGATGACAGCAGTCTAGGTGCTAAAGATGGTGGGAGACGAGGGCCTACAGACAGCAGCAGACTAAGTGCTATGGACAGCAGTAGACCAGGGCCAACAGACAACAGCAGACCAAGTGCTATGGATGGTGGTAGACCAGGCCTGCAGACAGCAAAAACCAAAAAGAGGGATTTTCAAACAATAAACTTATGGAACAGGTGATTGATACTATTGTGGTATGCAATACATGCTCCATGTATGTGCTTACGCCCAAAGAACACCCAAACTATACATGCATTAGATATAAACTATGTATAAGGACCCACTTCAGCCCCATATCTTAAGAAAGCAGAACACTTGGAAACAATTTCTTCCAACAGGAACTTTTATTAAGAGTAGTTGATAGCAGGCATAATAGACAAGATCTGATGGATTCCTTACAGATCGATACTTTAAAGTGTCCCCAAGCAAATCCCACCCCAAAGTTCATCTGGACGGTTCATAGCTGGGCAATCCCCAGGTGTTAAGTCCATCATGGAAAAAGAGGAGATAACATCGATCCAGCCCTGGTTACAGAGCAATGTTCAAGCGGCTCTTCACATCTTCTTTTGAGAAACAGAGAGATAAGCCAGGCTCCAGAGGTTGTATTTCTTTCTCCCCCCCCCCACCTTTCCTAGCTGACAGGTTAGGGAGAAGAAAGTTCAGAGAGAGACACAGTGCAGGAAGCAATTTGTTACATTGTAGTGGCCAGCGGACACAGAAGCAATAAATGAAGCAAAAGGTTACATTGTAGCAAATAGAGGAAGTGAAAGCAATAACCCTGCAGGCATATCCCCCTCCCCCTTGGGAGTATGGCAGAACCCAGGGAAAGGTGAGATTTGTTTTTAGATCAGAGGGGATAGATAGAAATGAAATACAAATGGGTTCTGACATTCTACCTCCCTTAAAAATAGGAGAGATCCACCTGCAGAGAAAACAAAACAGGTCTGGTTTGTTGGGATATCCTGTATGAAACTTCTTTAGCAGTTTAGGTGCTCTGCCGTGATGTTTATGGACCCACTCATTTTGTGAGGAGGGAAGGTGTTTCCATGCTACTAGGTATTGAGTTGCCCCATGATACTTCCTAGAATCTAGGATTTCTTTTATTCTGAAGTGTTGTTCTCCTTCAACCATGATTGGAGGTGGTGGTGATTTTTGGCCGTAAGGGTGACTATTGTTCTCATTTCAGCAAGCTGCAGTGAAAAATTGGGCATATTTGCCTGAGGTTTTTGGGGAGTTCTAATTCTACTGTTACTGCGTTTGTGATTCTTTTAATTGGAAAAGGTCCTATATATTTTGGCCCAAGTTTTTTACAGGGCTGTAGGGATTTTAGGTATTTTGTAGACAGATATACCATTTCTCCCACAGTGAATGGTATAGGTTCGACTCTTTCTTATCCGCTTATGCTTTGTATGCTTGCCTAGCTTCGTCTAAGGCTTTCCCAATTACTGGCCAGGTGTTTTGTAATTGTTCTATCCATTCTTTCAGTGAAGGGATTGCCAGTTCGTTTGGTATTAGTTCTGGCATAGGGTTGAAACTTTGACCGGTGGCTACTTGAAAGGGAGTGTAGCCTGTGCTGGAGTGGATTGTGTTATTGTACTTCTGCGAAAGGGAGTAGGTCCGTCCAATTTGTTTGTTGGAAATTAATAAAGCATCTTAAGTATTGTTCAAGTACTGAGTTAGAACATTCTGTCTGTCCATTGCATTGAGGATGATGACTAGATGATAGTCCCAGAGTGGTTCCTAAGAGGGATAAAGATTCCTTCCAAAATTCTGATGTAAATTGCATTCCCCTATCAGATATGATGTGCTGAGGTGCCCCATGCAGTCTGTAGATGTGCTGCACAAATAGTTTCGCTAAGGTTTTTGCAGTGGGAATCTTTTGGCAAGGGATAAAGTGCTTTCTGGTAATTCCATTATAAAGTCCATGGATATTTCTCTCCAAGGGGCTGAGGGATTCACCACTGGTTTTAGCAGTCCCGGCGATATCCCTTGCAACCTCTTAGCAGTTGCGCAAGTTGGGCAGCTGGCCATGTAACTTTCTATGTCCTTTTTCATGGACAGCCACCAAAATTACCTTTTAATTAAATGCAATGTTTTTAGAAATCTGAAATGCCCTGCTGATTTTGTATCATGGCATAGCTGTATGAAAGTGACCCTCTGGGTGGCTGGTATATATAATTTCTCCCCCACCCATGGCAGTCCATCCTTGATTGTACACATGTGTCTATTTTTCTGGAACCATTCATCTGTTTCTAAAGTTTTCCGGAATTCGATTCCAGTTTGGCTACCCAGCTGCGGCTTTATTTTAGCTAGGGCATTGGTGGTTACTGGTGCTGCCAGTTGTGATTCTGGCATGAGTGGCTCGCGTGCTGTTATATTGAGGCATGCGAGACAGTGCATCTGCGAGGAAGTTCTTTCTCCCCAGCAAGTGTTTGAGTGTAAAACGGAATTGGTGAAAATGCTGGGACTAGCAGGCTTGTTTGGGAGTGAGCTTTCTGGGTGTTTTTAATGCTTCCAAGTTTTTGTGGTTTGTCCAGACCTGAAAAAGGATTTTATTCCCATCAAGGAAATGGTACCACGTAAGTAATGACCATCTCACAGCGTATGCCTCCTTTTCCCACATGGCCCGGTGCTGTTCCGTCTCAGTGAGTTTCCTGGACGTATACGCGTGCAGTTGCAATACCCCTTTATTATTTTCTTGTAATAGTACAACCCCCACCACATCGCTTGTGTATGCCTGTATAACAAAGGGTTTTTCTGGGTCCAGGTGCCTCAGTACAGGTTCGGCGGAAAAGAGTCTCTTTAGCCTATCGAACACCGCTTGGCATTCCATTGTCCATTTCAGTGGCTGGCTGGGTTTCACTGAGGATTCTCCATTCATTTTTAGTAGGTTCATGAGGGGCAGGCTATTTGGGTGAACGAAGGGATGAACTGGCAATAAAAGTTTGCGAAACCCAGGAAACTTTGCAATTTGCTTCCTGGTGCAAGGTGGTGCCCATTTTAGTACTTATCGGGGTCCATTTCAATGCCCTGTGGGGAGATGCGATAACCCAGGTAGTCTATTTTTTCCTGGTGGAATTCGCATTTTGATAGTTTGGCATATAGGTGGGCAGCTCGCAGTTTCTTTAAAACCACTCTGACTACGTTGACATGCTCTTCTTTGGACTCAGTGAAGATAAGGATGTCATCTAGATAAACCAGGAACCCCTTAAATAGGTGCTCCCTTAGTACCTTGTTGATTAATTGCATAAGTACTGTGGGGCCCCCTTGTAGTCCAAACGCAAAACTTTGAATTAGTAGCATCCCATTGGGCAATTAAATGAAGTTTTCCATTCATCCCCTTCCTTAATTCTAATATGGTAACACTCTTCCCTTAGATCTAGTTTAGTGAAAATTCTTCCTTTCGAGAGGTGGGATAACATGTCCTTCATGAGGGGTAGGGGGTATAGGTTGCTTTCACTGATTGCATTCAATAGGCATAGTCTATGCACAAGCGTAAAGTGTCGTCCTTCTCTCTAAAGAGGACCGGGGAAGCTACTTTAGGTTTAGCAGGTTCAATGGACCCGCTTTCTAAGTTTTTATTTATGAATCTTTCCATTTCCTCCTTCTCCTTAGGGCTCATAGAGTATAATCTGGGCTTTGGGAGTTTTGCCCTGGGCTTGAATTCTATGGCATAGTCCGTGGGTCGGTGAGGGGGAAGCTCATCCACCCTCTCCTCACTGAAAACTTCAGCAAAGTCTCGGTATTCCTCTGGCATGTCAGGTAGCCCCTTTTCTTCTCCCATGGATGCTTTTTCCGTTCTTAATTTTGGTAGGACTTCTTGGAGGTTTAAGTCCGTAGGGTCCCCCTTCAGGAAATTGATTTCTGCCATCCTCCAGTTTACCCAGAGGTTCCATTTCTTTAACCACTCCAGCCCTAGGATCACTGGGAATTCCATGCCTGGGGTCACTACAAACATTATGTCTTCCTCGTGGTCCCCCCAGGGATAGGTAGATTGGTAAAGTGGCTAGGGTAGCTGGCACCCCCCCCCCTGTTATGGATCCATCTAACTGGCCGAATGAGATTGGTTCTTTCAATCTCCTCATCAGAATGTCCAAGTTCCCCACTAGCATCAGGCTAATGAGGCAGTGGGTGCAGCCAGAGTCTATTAAGGCTTTCACTTTGACAGCATGGAGGGGGCTAATATAGTCACTGTCTTGAGGATGGGTGCAATGGATCCACTTACCAGGGGTTTGCCCTCCGAGCTGTCATCCAAGGTATCCGCTGCCCCTGTGGGATAGGCCAGAGTTCCTTCCCCATGCTTGGCAGAGGGTGGAGACTCCACAGCCTCTGTCGCCCTCATGGCAGGTTCTCGTGGCTTGGCTGGGGACTTCTCTGATTTCCTGGCCAGTGATAGGTCTAGGTTGCATTGAGGGGCTTTCAGGCAGCACTCTATGGCACGATGCCCCTCTCTCCCGCATTTGAATCAACCTGTGGACTTCTTGGCCGTGGCCGATGGTTTTGCTGGTTCACGTGTCGGCTCACGAGGCAAGCGGCCCCATGGTTTTCCTCAGTGGTACCTCTTCAGTAGGTCGATCTCTGCTTCCTCTGACCACATGGGAATGCAAATACAGCAGCTTTCTGCAACAAACAGCCATAGTTTATTCCTGGATATGACTGCTTTAACCATTGCTTTTGGCCACATAGCTTTTTGAAATCAAATCTAAAGTGTTGATGGCCCTAATATTTATGTCTTTGGCAATTAGTTACAATACCTACCCATTTTCTTACATAGCTAAAGATGCACAAAGAAATTGAAAATGTGAGTTCCTATATCTGTTTCTGTGATTAATGTTTTTTCCAAGCTGAGAAAGAATCTTGAATTCAGATCAAAATTCTTAGTTTTAATGCTAATAAATCTTTGCTGAATTATTTGCAGTAAGTAACCAAATTAGAAGACATTTCCAGTTACAGCTGTGACTTTTCAGTATCCTAAACTTTTAATGCCTCCTGTAAGCTATCTTTCATTACTATGTTCTCATCAACCATTCTGTGTCCAGATCTCTTCCAGTTAATGTAAATTAATTTCATTGATGCAATCAGGAAGAGAGTTCTGTGTTATGTGTAGTTTCATTATTCTTCTTTAAGGGCTATATTTTTTCAAATAAAGCAATTTTGGGGCAAGGGATTCTGAAGGAAAAGATACCCACACTCCATATCCATATATATTGACAGAACGTCATTCTAAAGCAATTATAGCTACTGGACCGCTTAACAAAAAGAATTGGGTAATCCCACCTAATGCATCCCTTTTGGCCTAAAGCAACATTATGCTCACTCTACATCTTATGCATCAGCTTTTATCTTGATTCAGAAATACAGCCAGGTAGCTGCATTATAAATGGATGGTGTTGTGTTCCCCACAGCAAAATACCCTATTTTCCTTCCTCGCTTGGAGAGAGATGGGCTTTTCTATCACTCTGATTGTCTGATTAACTAGCTAAAGTCTTGAGATCACTGCTGCCTCAGGTCCGTTTCTTTGGGATGTGGAAAGCAGAGCCAATTAGCTCACTGCTCAGTCCTCGATGAGAGCAAATGTTAGGGAGCTTTTCCAATATTTTCTCTGAAACTGCATGACAGATTTCCCAGGGTGGAGGAATTGCTGCCTCCATGTTCTTGGCACTTTCCCTCCTGCCAAGGGATAGGGGTTTGCTGCTTTCCTATAGAATGCAAATGTGGGCAATTAATGGAGGGGGAGGTAAGGACCCTTGCTGAACACTGGGAAAATCTTATGTTTGGGGAGCATTAAAGTCACAGCCCATGGAAAGGACCTTAACCAGAAAGAAGGTAAGATTGTAACACCAAATGCAAATGTTTAAAAAATATATCTATTTCATGACAGGTGAAATGAACAGTGAAGGAGACCACTTCAAAGAGATTTAGAACATTTCCAAAATAAGGTGGCTCTGATTAGAAGCCCCTCAAGGTGAGGATAGTATTTCTGGAGTTTTCTCATTTGCTTTGGAGAGTGCTGTCATTATCACTTGTACTTAATTAAACCTCTTGTTATTAATCTTTTCATAGAAAATATTATGAATCTTTTCATAGAAAGAAAACACCAGATAGGAGGGATAAGATGCTGTTTTATGATTAATAGCTCTAGCTTCCCACAAAAAATTACATTAAAATAGCTCTCCTGGATCTTTCAAATCTAGTGGTTAATAGAGATGTAGAAATGCAAAACCAGAGAAGATTATGTAATGAATTCTCACCTGCAAAGTTCTGGACTGCTTTTCATCCTACATCTTGATCACAGTACTTGTCTTTCCAAAAATCTGCTGGCCTTTAAGTTATGTTCCTTCATTGCTTTATTAATGCTAATTGCTCAAAAAATCACAGAAAGAAAAGGATATCTTCTCTTTTTTCTTTTTTTTTTTAATTTTCAAAGCTTCAAGCCAATGCTTTAATTGATTTGCCTTATTGGGCAGTACCCTATCCTGATGTGGATGCTGAATTATTTTTGAATCCCCAAGACCGAATAATGGTATTTTCAAATGAATTTAATTATTCCTATTGTTTATAATGAAATAGAGTCAAAGGTGGTCAATGATTCTTAAATACCAGAAGTTGGTGCTTAGATCAAGTGAATCTGAATGAATCTGTCCACATTGGTCACATCTTTTCAACTCTGTTTCCAGCATCCAGAAAGATTGCTTGTATTTGCAATGTGCTTGTGGAATCCTTGCAGGATCAGGACCTTTGCTATCACAGGTCTGCTTGCATACTATCTCCCCCACTCAGCTCTGCAAGGCTGGGGTCAGGAAGGACAAGGCTCAAAACACTATGGGACAGAATAATTTTTCATGGTGTTGTGCCCCTTACCCACTTTCATGAGACTTAGTTGGAGCATCATAGATAAGCAAAGCTCTAGCAAAACAGCAAAAAGACCAGATACCTTAATGTTTGTTTGTTTGCTTGTTTACACTTATAGCCAACTTAGAGCAATAGCACTTAGATTTATATACTGCTCCATAGTGCTTTAAAGCACTCTCTGGGCAGTTTACAATGTTAGCATATTGTCCTCAACAAACAGGATTCTCATTTTACCAAACTCAGAAGGATGAACAGCTGAGTCAACCTCGAACGCCATCAGGATCGAATGCTAGGCTGTGGGCAGAGTTAGCCTGCAATATTGCATTTTAACCACTGTGCCACCAAGGCTCTTCTTTATAAGCCACTATGTGTTCAGTGACTAGGGTTATCTGAAGCATAATAGATTCCCTAACCCCAAGAAGCAACAGTGAGAACTGGACACGGAACCACTGATTGGTTCAAAATTGGAAAAGGAGTCCGGCAAGGCTGTATACTGTCGCCCTGCCTATTTAACTTATATGCAGAGCACATCATGAGAAAGGCAGGGCTAGATGAATCAAAAGTTGGAATTAAGATTGCCGGGAGAAATATCAACAACCTAAGATATGCAGATGATACCACTCTAATGGCAGAAAGTGAAGAGGAACTAAAGAGCCTCTTGATGCGGGTGAAGAAGGAGAGTGCAAAAGTTGGCTTGAAACTCAACATTAAGAAAACCAAAATCATGGCATCCGGCCCTCTCAATTCCTGGCAAATAGATGGGGAAGAAATGGAGGTAGTGACAGATTTTATTTTTCTGGGCTCCAAGATCACCTCAGATGGGGACTGCAGCCAAGAAATTAAAAGACGCTTGCTCCTGGGGAGGAAAGCTATGGCAAATCTAGACAGCATACTAAAAAGCAGAGACATCACCCTGCCAACAAAAGTGCGTATAGTCCAGGCCATGGTTTTCCCAGTTGCAATGTATGGCTGTGAAAGTTGGACCATAAGAAAGGCTGAGCGCAAAAGAATTGAGGCCTTTGAACTATGGTGCTGGAGAAGACTCCTGTGAGTCCCTTGGACTGCAAGGCGTTCAAACCGGTCAGTCCTAGAAGAGATCAACCCCGACTGCTCTTTAGAAGGCCAGATCCTGAAGTTGAAACTCAAATACTTTGGCCACCTAATGAGAAGGAAGGACTCACTGGAGAAGGGCCTAATGCTGGGAAAGATTGAGGGCAATAGAAGAAGGGACGACAGAGAATGAGATGGCTGGATGGAGTCACTGAAGCAGTAGGTGTGAACTTAAATGGACTCCAGAAGATGGTAGAGGACAGGAAGACCTGGAGGAACGTTGTCCATGGGGTCGTGATGGGTCGGACACGACTTCGCAATTAACAACAACAACAACAACAACCCCAAGAGAAACCTTCTAAATCAGTAGTCTATTTTCTAATGAGAGATTATTGTAGATGCAGCTTAAGCTTTTTCCAAATACTGATGTTATATAGGAAATAGATCACTTTCCGATGTGTTACATAATATACACATATGTATTAGTTGAATTGAACTGTGTTTTTATTTACAGTGGTCCTGTGTTATATACAGTATATACTATGAGGTTTACAAGTTAATTTGTCCAAGGCAAATCAATGAACCATAAAACTGAACAGGAATTTCATTGAAAGATCCAACCCACAGCTCTAGCACCTCATCACAGAAAGTTGTCTGTAAGGGAATCCATAAGACGATGGGCAGCTGGACATTTTTTTTTTTTTTTTTTTGTATTTTCTAATTTTCTGGATATTTGCAAGTAATTAGCTGCAACGGTAATAGGAGGAGCCCATGTTAGTGCAGATGAATGGACATCATTTTCACTTCATTGTACATATTATATCAGCTGTTATTTTAGGGTAGAACTAAAATGTAAATTTCACTATTCCATATTGACCAAATTGTTTGCTTGTCAATCACTGACAAACTAGCCTTTTACATTTTTTAAAAAATGAGATTTTTTTCATACTGGTATATGAAAAAAATGCTGGTATAAAAGGCAAACACTGGAAACCGAGAGGAAATATTTATGTCTTTTATGATAAGGGAAATTTGGAATACCCTTTCTATTTAGTTATGTACATATACTATCCACCATCACAACAAACAGGAAGAGGGAGGCATATAGCCCCTTCATATAACCTACCATGCCAGATGAAGAGGAATACAATTTGAATGGAAAATTGTCCCATTTGAAGCACAAAAGTTGTTTCTCAAGCTGAAGATAAGATAGCCATTCTGAGAAAGAAGTCATATGTGGAATCCTGTATTACATTGGAAGGGAAATCAGAATGTATTTCTCTGTGTTATGTTTCATTAGTGACTGCGGAACCGTAAGAATTTTTCAGTTTCTATGATATGAACTGTCCCCACCTACAGTTGGAAGATGCACATCTACCTACCAGTCCAAGACCTCTAGGAAGAAAGGTGACTCTGGACTTTTGCATATGGATCTTCCATCCAAAAGAACAGCTCTGAGGCCCACATATGCAGAGCTGAAAATCAAGTAGGAGGAAGCTGTCCATGATCCCACCAGGCATCCTGTGCCTGTTAGGATCAATGTCATTGAATGCCTTCTTATGTGCCTCTGATATAGCTGGGACTGACTGCCCAGGGAACCACAGTTAAATCGGAACCAGAAATGTTGAAATCCTGAGCAAGATGTGCCATTTCTTTTACTTATTTATACAGTGTAACTTGCTGAATGTAAAATACAAACAGATTGGCATTAGTGGCTCATATATTAAACTAAGTCGGATGCCAAATCAATAGAGTCAGAAGAAAGGGAGGGAGGTTGAAAATTTGAGATTTAAAATTTAAATGTTTTTAATTGTTTTAGAATTATACATCCCCCAGAAGCACTGAGTTGAAATAGGTGGCTATAGAAATAAAATAAATGTCAACATTTTCTTTTGATAATAAAAATGATCTTTTACAATATCTCAAACTTAAAGGAGGAAAGTAATTCAAAATAAGTCCTTCCTTGACTTGGTGAAAAAAATTCTGAAGTTGTAAAGGGAGGAGGGGAGAGCTTGTTGAGATGCCCTGTCCCAGTGCTGATGTCAGAGGCTGCCATGCATATACAAAAAGAAGATATAAAAGGGGGGAAAGGACCACCAGCTTGCACTGAGCCTGGCCACTGAAGGCATAGACTGGCTGTGCCACTCTCCAGTCCCCTTGGAAGACAAGTAAGTATTGCCTTCAGTGCAGTCTGTCAGCTCTATGAATGTCTGCTTTTGGAAAAGGTGGGAATAAGAAAGGCAAAACAAAGGGTGGCATGCATGTTCTCAGTAGCCCATTCAAGTTATTGTTGAAAATGCTAAATAAAATCATCTTCCAGATCTATTTTTCCCACTGCATTGCCTAGTTTTTAAGAATTTGTTTGTGTTTGTATCTTTTGTGTGCTTTGTAAGCAATTTCATTTGACTATTACCAATTGTTTATTGTATTCTACTAATGTAGTAATTACCTGTTTTCCAATTCCATTGGTTTTTAAACAAAATAGTAATATTCCTTATAAAGAACATTGTAGATGAAACAATTTCCAGTGTGCTTATTTCAGACACACAATGCAAAAGACAACTTGAATTCAATAAGTAATAAATGTAGAGCATGTTATCGCAGCTTTCCAGTTTGGAAACTAAAGCTTAAAATAACCAGTTTAACTCTAGCTTGCCAGTGAACTCTATCATGAAACTGAGATTGAAACTTTGCATTCATTTCGCTTCTTCTTAAAGGAGACAGAGATTTACCTGCAGCCACTATAGGAACTATTTATTTATTTAATTTAGATAACGATGCTCCAACAAGAGCTAGTTAATTCTGAGATAGTTTTCTAATTTTTTTTGTGGTAAAAATGTATTTTATTTTATATTATGCATTTATTTTATTTTAATCTGTTTTATTATAAACCATGTATGTTGGATGTAATATACATATAACAAATTTACATAGTCATTTCTTCCTTTTGGAAAACAATTACCTTTGATGCTGAATGGGATGAATTAGTTCAAACAATAAGGAACTATTTGCTTAATAAATATTTACATTTACAAATGGTGGGTGGTAATTGGCTCAGGCATATATTAAACGTGTTGTACATAATTTTTTCTTGTGCCAGCGAAAGAAGAGCATGAGAAGCAATCAGTCAAATTACAAAAGATAAAATGTTCAGTCTAGATGTAAATCCCTTAGTGAGTGATCAAACACTTTGATGTTTGATATAATAACAACAGCAAGGGGTGGAGGGAGAGATACAGCTAAAGATGACACTAGGCAAACAGCAAAATGGGTGGCTGGTTGGGCACAGGCGAAACTGGTTGATATTGAAAATGAAGAAGACTTTGAAGTACATGAAAAAATGGAACTTGGACAAAATTATCCAGCCAGTTATTGACAAAACCAAGCCCACTATTTATTACCACACCAACTTGGGTACATGGGTACCGTAAATGGACAGGTGAGATTTAGATTTGGTTTTGTATTTCAACATTCAGTTATCCACAGGTTCAATTCAAATTGCTTTAAGGATGAGACTGAATTTGAAAAAAGATTTGGTCATAGACTAATAAGAAGTACTGGAATTATTGCTATTGTTTCATTTCTTAAACACAACAGGATGAGAATAGCAAAATCAATAGATATTAGAGGACACTAAATCTGGCAAGTTTCATCCACAATACGTATCTTCAAAGATTTCCAGAGAATAAAACTTTGAAATATTACCTCTTCTTCTTTTAAAGCAGAAATAAAGAAAGAACCAATCACAACCCTTAAAGGATTTAGCAAGGAACCTATTGAGAAGTTGCATTTCACACAAAAAAGTGTTTCACTGCAACTTAAAAGTGGAAAACAATTACAAAAATTGTTTAAAGGGTAAATTCTGACTTGTTTCTTGGCATGATAGATGCTGAAAAAGTTAATTGAGTTATCCTGGGATGGTGATGTCCTCTGCACTCTTATCATCCTGGGGTGTTATAGGTTCTAAGGCAGACAGCATAGTTGATTGGCAAGCTTGACCTCTTGTCATCCTGAGATGGTTTATGCTTGGGAGGCAAGCATGGCAGCCAGGAAGAGAGGACTCTTAAGGTTTCCAGAACTAAGAAATGAAGCCATGCTTTAAACCTCTGATCACTTGCTCTATTGGCTGCCAGGCTGACATGGCTCCTTTATGCAGAACAAATATATTTCCTTATGAATATATCCCAGAAGGATGTGTAGTGGTCTCATTCCCAGTGTGGAAGGTAAATTCCCATGGGTATTCATGTTGGTCTTTGTGAGAGAACCACTGAGAAACTTCAAAGTCAAAAGGTGCTAGAGTTGCTCACAGACTGGCTAGTTTTGGTGAAGGTAGGCAGTGGACACAAGAAATTGCTGGTAGCACAGATGGTAGACAGATGGGTAGGCTGACCATGGAAATGGCAATGATGGGCCACTGGTGGAGCAGATAGGGAGGTCTCTGGTGTGCTGGACAGATAGGTTGACACAATACTACAAAGGTAAGTCCTGGGAACTGATAAATGGAGAATTAGAAGAAAACATATCTTTAAATTCAAAAGCATCAGTGAATCTTTGTCCCTATTCAATGAGATTGCTTGTAATAAGTAAAAGACTACCAATTTGAAGAAATGTGGACTTTCAAAGAACAAATTTTCCTCAGCCTAATTTTGTTCCCTTTTCCTCAGTTGCTGACTGGCTTGACAGAGGTGAAAGTGAGTTTGCTAAAAGTTAATTCTGATGAAAAAATGGCAGGGCCAAGGAGCTTTCCAATGCTGGGCCAAAACAGACATGAAATGAATTCTGTGTTTCTAAAAGTGTAACTTGGAACACTGAAGGAGACTCATACAGCAATGGAATCTAGGGTGGAGTGAAATAAAGTTCCTTATTATCTATTTTCTTTCTAAGGTTTTCCATGAAGACCATCTTCAAAACTGCCTTTTGTATTTCAAGTTTGTGGGTCAACAGAACCTCTCATTTCCATAAGCTCATTTTCAGAAAAAAGGGGCTGAAAGTTGAAAATCCACCCCGTTTTTATTTCTAAAAATTCCACACATGAGTGTGAAGGTTAGTTTGGCTCTAAGAAACCACAGAGCAAATTCAGATGGAAATACAATAATTAAAGAGTGATATTTAGAATATGAATCTAAAAAAGAAACAGCCCAAAGCAGCAAAAGCAACTTAGTTAAGCAATCAAAACAATGGGCCAATGCTTTTTATATCAGCCTGATGGCAATTTTGGTGGCAAACACATCTGAGTACAAGGATGTAATTTTTCAGGGAGCAGTTGTTTTCTTGAAATTCAACATTCAACATTGTTTTGCTGTTGCAGAATTTTGCAGTCTATTTTACTAAAGGAGTGCTTTTCTTGTATGAGGCCAGTAACACACATTTTGTTCCCTGTTGCTATAGATCACCTATTTTTTTCTTTGTTTAAAATCAGATACCGAAGTGCTTTGAGTGGGAGAAAAAACCTGAAAGGAATGAGACTGCTAGTTGTCTGCCTTCTGCTGCTGGCCTTTATACCTGAGACTAAATGCCAAATCCTTGAACGATTCATGGAGATCAGGAGTAAGTTCCCACAGCCAGGTGATTGTATAGATAGAGATACTGTATTTTTCATCCGCAAAATGTCCAGCATATATACAAACCTTCACACCGGCTGAAGGCAAAATCTGGAATGGTACCTGATGCATGTTGGCTTTGTCTTTCTTCCTTTTCAAGACCTTCTAAAGGGAATGTAGTGATACTGTATTTGGCAGCAAAAATCTAGAAGACCACTAGAGAGCATAAACAGATTTGATCCAGATCTAGTGGTCATCCAGATTTTTGTCACCTAGATATGCCTGATATAAGTTACTCTGGACTATGTTGATCTTGCTGTACAACACCTACAATTTTTTTTTCACTTAATCTAGACTAACTTGTTCCAGATTCTGGAAATCAACCAAAGATGTACCCTAGAGTCTTCTTTTGCAGCTCTTAAAAATCATATTGCTGAAATCTAACAGCAAAACCCTTAAATATGATGAAGATGTTTTCCAGGCACTTTAAAAACATCTGTTTCCCTTCCTCCCTCCCCTCCCCCACTTTCTTCCTCTCTTGTTGATTTTTACTTCTTTTATTAATTCAAAAGCCTGAAAAACTCTACTGCCACCATTGTTTTAGTGAAGTTGCTGCCATGTCACCTGAAGATCTCAAGTGCTGGGAAACAAAATTAAGAAAATTATTGTCCCTGGTAGAAAAAGAACTTTGTCCACCCTTGCCCTACACTAGTGTTTTTAAACTTTGCAAGACCCAAACAACCAAACAATATAAACACGTCTCTCATATGTCTTTTCATCATTTACCTCCATTGTGCAACAGCAGCTGTACATACATATAATATTATTTTCTCCAGAATTACATTCTGGCATCCAATGATCTCAAGATGGAA